GATGCTGCACAGGTCATGTTATGTTATAAAAACATGTCTTATTATATTATCTTACATGCTATATCAAAATGAAGCCTTTAAGTGTATTCATTTGTGAATGTGTTGATTTGTTTTTTTTGCATAACACCACAGAACATACATACATCTTTTATAATTATTTTAAAAATTCTTTAGATGAAGGTCACAATTTCCAGCTAAACCCATTACATAATATAATTGCAATTTTAAAATCTAACCCAAATATAATTATAAAAATCATAATTTTACTTTTAAATATATTTAGTGCTATTTTCTATCATTGGAGCTGTGAGTCCATGCTGTTATATATATATATATATATATATATTTAAAAAATCACCTCAAAGATCTGTTCAGGCTAATTTGTAAATGCTACACTGATATATTACTGTAAAAACCTAATAAACAGAGTGTTCAAAAAAAAAAAAGAAGAAGAAGAAGAAAAAAAAGTCACCTCTTCATAACACTGACATTATTTGTGTGTTCTGGTCAAGGAAAAAACATTTCACCACCAAAATATTAAAATAAGTCATTGTTAAAACGTACAATATAGAGTTACATCATATGACTCACTGCTCTTACAAAATCAATTTAACCCTAGCTAGACCCTGTTACTTTGAATTTATAATGTGTATATTTGCATGTTATAACTACATTTTTTTCTTTTTTCTTTAACTTCATTTGAGTGAAAAAACATGCCACAGAGTTACCGTATGTGAGCATTCAGTATACAGAAATGTGAAGTCTGCACTAGGTTGACTGCTAAAATAAGTTTTTACTACTAAATTTACTACTTATTTTGTCTGTAAAGGATATGTTTCACATAAAAAAGCATGCCACATATGCTGACCTTCCTAGTGATAAGATATATTGTAATTCTCGCTTAAAATGGCCCCTGGCCAGTGTGCTGTCATGAAGGTCCAGTAAATTGAGAACAGGTTCTGAAGTGAATGGTTAGTCCCCCAAACACATGCCTCTAGCTTTATGAAGCACTTCCAGGGATTTATCAAAAGCACAAATATTTACATTCCTCCAAGCATGTGGACCAGCCACCTCTACGTGTTCAACCGTCTGATCTCATTTTGAAAATGACAAAAGCGTTCAAAGGCTCAGCACTACTAAAAAGAGTGGAAAACATTTTTTCATTGTTTTAAGCATCAAAACGGTCAGAAATTATATAAATTGTTCTGGCCTACAATGCCTGACATCAATGAAACGCTGTTTATGCCCCCAAACATAATTCAATGCATGGCTGAAAGTGACTTTTTGTCAAATCGCTAAAAACTGCCAAGCAAAAAAAATTAATAAATAAAAATGCTGAATACAACTACAATACAATATTAGCAGCAGATTTATCTGGCCATGGCTGATTGGACTTCATCTGAAAGAAGAGCAAAGTAAATCACACTTCCTCTGGGAAATGACACAGGATGAATGTTGTTGGCCTCGTGCACTGTGAATAACATTGAGATGACCAAGGCGATTATGGGTCAGATCACACTAATGATGGTGAAATCATACTGAAAAAGGTTTAATGGTTACTAGCAAGTGCTTTTATTCAGCTGCAATATTCAGCTGTATTAAGCAGCAAGTCACTGTCGGCACTCCCATTGGCTGATGCCCCATCGCATCACTTATTTGCATAAAGCTTAAAAAATTCCTATCGTCGCCATTTCTAGTCATTCAAGTGCTTTGACTTGACAACTGAGGCCAAAATCTTTATTCAATCTATATTCAAATCTTTGTTATATTTCGTTAGCACAGTACTAATGTGTCATCAGTTACAACACTACTATATATTTTGACAGCAGTTATGTTGTCGTCAAAGTGTAATATTCGTAGAGCTATATCATCAATCTCAGGACATTCAGATGGCTTACGTGCCTGAATTTCAGAGCATATTAGTTCCCCATCACTAACAAAGCATATGCAAATACATGAATGAGATACAGACTGATAATGTCAGTGAACAAACTTTTCACAGGCTGGGTTCAAAGAGTCACGGTCAGTTTTGCAGATAAACAGAAACACTGTTGAGCTAAAACCGGATTGAGGCAACACTGCAGTGATATTTGGGCCAGAAAAGGATGACATGAAGGTGAAACGTGTGAATTTTCCCTCAAAAATAAAAACACATGCAAAGGGCAAAGTGGAACTACGGTCTTCCTCATGACCTTTGTGCTTATTCCAGAAATGAGAGTGGCAGCATGAAACAATAGCTTTAAAATGTTTGTTAGTGCGGTCAAATGATTAATCGCGATTAATCACATCCAAAATAAAAGTTTTTGTTTACATAATACATGTGTGCATTCTGTGTATATTTATTATGTATAAATAAATACACACAGATGCAGTATATATTTTGAAAACATTTACATGTATTTACATGTATATAATTATTCATAACATTTATATTATATATAAATATATTTAATATAAAAACATAACATATGTTTCTTACATATATACATGCATGTGTGTGTATTTATATATACATAATAAATATACACAGTACACACACATATATTATGTAAACAAAACTTTTATTTTGGATGCGATTAATCGCGATTAATCGTTTGACAGCACTAGTTTTGATGCAATTCCCACACACACACACACACACACACATACATATATATATATATATATATATATACACGTTAATGTAGAAAAATAGTGACTAATAGAGACCACAGATTTCAGCCATCCTCCTAGACCTTTCTCTTATTTAGGTGAGGGTTGCTGACTCTTCCAGAAAGAGTCTGGATTCCTCAGCAATCCTGTGGCGGTGTGACATAGAGGCTTTGAATAGGGGGGGATGTTACTCAGCATGTACCGCCCATCTACAGCTCTTAATGCAAAACATATGCTGCCATACTGACCTACTATTCAGCATCTGGCAAAGAAAGAAAGAGGAAAAGAGGAGATAGTGCAGAGAAGGAAAAAAGAAAGTGAACAATGCTACCACCCTACCAGATACAGCTTAACCTGTAAAACAGCTTCTGAAATATGGAGACCAATCACAATGGACCCAGATACACCAGAGGAAACAAGAATGATATTTACTCAATAGCTTTCTTTAATGTTTATTACATAATGTTGGAGAAGAGTAATCTTGCGTTTGTGGCCTGTTTTAAAACAAAGCATTATGGACTAAAATGTCCTCATACTACATACACAAATCTTTATGATATAGTTTCTAAATACAGTAGTTCAGTCAACTGAGTGATATATTACATAATCAACCTAAATTGCTCTTGCACAGCTGGTATACATAAAATTGGGCACCGCTGTGTAACAGACATTACCGCTAGTTCATATTTCAGAAATCATTCCATTTCCTTTGAGCTGTCATGAGCAAAATGAGTAGACTCATCAAGGATACTCTGACGCAAAACTGCAGTCAAAACAAATACAGCTACAAACTCCACCTATTAATTCCACAGATATAGTTATATAGAATACATACTTGCAGGTCACACTGAGCTTGGCCTCATATGTGACATTGTATCATTAGAAATGAATGGGAACTTTACAGGCAATGGTAACATTAAAGAATACTGCTTGTACACTCTTCTAGTTTTAGTCTAATTTACAGAAGCAATAAGCACAACTTAATTGATCACTAATGATTTCTGTGATATTGTGACCACATGAGCACAGCTAACCACAAGTCGGCTTATTCTGTGCAGAAAAAATGCTTTACTAAGACCGACTGATAATATTGCAATACATACTAAATACCACAGACAGCATTGAGCATCTACAAAAAAGGTTTGTCCCACATACATAAAGCCTAAGGTAAACTAGTTCCACCGGCTGCATGGCTTGCAGAGAATGTTTCTGCGTGCATTGAAGAGACAGCTGAACTGGATTTACTTGTTTTTCACCTGATCTGTACCTGTTCTTCACCAGCTGACAGGCTGAAAAAGACACTGAATTTGAGACAAGCAGGGTCTGTGAAAGCATCCTACCATGGGATCCAGGGATCACACAAAGCCGAAACGTTTCAAGCGTAACAGAAGCCTAATATTGCTCGAGGAGCTATGAAAAAATGGTGTCGCTTTCAACCATAACAAGAGGAAACTGTCTCATTGTGCACACACGCATAAGCACATGCTTATTTAAAGCAGAACCCAGCCCATCCTTATAGGAATATGTACGGAAGTGAGTTCACCTACACCTACCTGCATCTCTCTGTGTCCTGTAACCATGCACACTAATGTGTGTAACTTACAGTTTTCCACTATTACATAAGACTAAGCCAGGTTGGCATGACAGAATATGTTAATAATGAGTTAAAAACAGTAACTGCAATGTGTCTAACAGGAACACTGATCTGGGAAAGTGGAAACACAATGGTTTCTATCTGTCACAAGCCTGGACAAACACATAGTGCCAAAAATAGCAAGAAACTGGGTTGTTTGTATAAGTACAACCTGTTCAAGGAGGGCTAAGAAAGGAGAGGCTGTTTCCATCTAAGCGAACAAGAGATGGAGGGCAAACAATAGCTGAATATGACACCCAGCTGAGGCCGTTTATCTAGCAGACCAGCCACTACATTCATAAGATGTTAATAATAACTAAAAACGTACATAGGGTTCATATACATACACAAATCTCCAGTAAATTTAAATGTATGTAATTAATATAGAATAAATAAAAAATGTTTAGTATTAGTTTGTACTTGTTTTGATCACACTGAAAAAAAGCTTTTTATCTGAATTTTGAGCATTTATGATGCCAATATCCTATAGGATTCGGTGAATGGTCACATCCATAGGGATGTCTAATCTTGTAGCTGTTAAAATTCGTTTACTTGATGTAAATGACCACAGAAAGAAGTTAAAAACAATAACACCGAGCAGCTGCTGTAAGCTACTGCATGTCGATAAGGATGCTGGAAAACGGTTTCCAAAACAGGAGCAGTGTCCCTTGTGTTTATCTCTGTACGTGACTGTGATAAGTATATTTTCACTCACCATTTTCATTCGTTTATCACACCGCAGCCGACCTTCTTTTATCCTTTTTGTAATTGTTTATTAAAACAAAATAAGCCTATTAAATGTCTCTGGGTGATGTCACGGTCGCGGTCTCGTTTTGGCCTCTGGTACTGTTAAATGTCACCTCAGGACCAGTGTCGCCGCTCCATAATACTGAAGACCGCGCCGGGTATATTTATTATGTATAAATAAATACACACAGATGCAGTATATATTTTGAAAACATTTACATGTATTTACATGTATATAATTATTCATAACATTTATATTATATATAAATATATTTAATATAAAAACATAACATATGTTTCTTACATATATACATGCATGTGTGTGTATTTATATATACATAATAAATATACACAGTACACACACATATATTATGTAAACAAAACTTTTATTTTGGATGCGATTAATCGCGATTAATCGTTTGACAGCACTAGTTTTGATGCAATTCCTCTTTTAACTGTGCACTGTTATGGTCTTGTCTGTGATGTTCTCACTTGCTTTTACCTCTGGCTTGTGGGAATATTTGAGCACAAGTCATTCTGTAGCCCTGGGTTGAGTTTGATGAGTAAACACAGCCTAGTGAGCCACGGTCACCTCAACAGAAACTATACAGCAAAAACAGACACAAAAAAAACAGCTCACGTCTAGAGAAACCTAGAAGAAAACCTGGTACAAATCTAATTCTACAATATCCAACTAAGAAACTAAATATTTGCTTCAATCATTATGGCTTTTATTGCAGTTTAAACAAATTAGGAGTTGTTCTGTCGGTAAGCAAACATCAGCCATGAATGTGCACATACTGGATATCATTAACAAAAGGCTTCTCTGTACACCTCCTGTCTGTTTAACAGTTTATCTGCTCTCAAAACTGAACAATATTTGATAGCACATGCTCACCGGTCCCCTTGACCTGCTTTTAGAAGCTGGTAGCACAAGGGAAGCCGCAAAAGAAACTAATGCAGATGAGAGAAACAGGAGAGGCAAGGTGAGAGGAGCTGAACGTGAGCTGGCAGGAGCACAGCGACAAGGATCTCATTTCACAGCTGAAAGCCCATCTCTGTGCTTCTCAAGACCAACTCTTTAAGGAAACTGGGCCTGCATAGAGTCTAATCTGCTTTTTATTAGTGATAAAGTGATATTTCACATCAGTAATCAAAACAAAAATATTATTAAAACTGTGGCCTAGTGGTTAGCGCACATACTGTGACTGATTGAGCCATGAAGCTCTTGTTCTTTTCTCCTATGAAGCTCTTTAGGACATTAATGTCCTCACTATACTGTTTGTACAAATAAAAATGGCAAAAAATAACAACCTAGCAACACATTTATGTAAACAAGTATGTCTGCTTTGCATGTACACTACTGTTAAAAAGTTTAAGGGTTGGAAATATTTTTAAATGCTTTTGTAAGAAGTATCTTATTCTGCATTTATTTGATCAAAATAAGAAGATAAATAAAATGGTTTTCTACTTTAATATATTTTAAAATGTCATTTATTCCTGTGATGCAAAGCTGAATTTTCAGCAGTCATTACTCTAGTTTTTAGTGTCACATGATCCTTCAGAAATCACTATAATATGCTGATTTGATGCTCAAGAAACATTTCTTATTTTTATCAATATTGAAGATAGTTGTGCTGCTTTATATTTTTGTGGAAATCATGATACCTTTTTCTAGGATTTTGAAAGTACAGTATATATTTTATTTTTTGTAACAATGTATAAGTCTTTAAAGTCCCTTTTGATCAATTTAATACATCCTTGCTGAAAGAATTGATTTGTTCATGTGGGTGGCATGTAATAGCACATGACGTACATGATCTCCAGGAAGTGACAAGCTTGACATTAAATGGGGTTGATATCAATAGGAACAGCCATTCAGAGTCACCACAAAGAAAAACAAAGATTCAATGTCTAAGGGACAGATTAGGCAAATTTGCTAGTCAACATATGGTGCACATCACAATGAAAAGGTCAACAGAGATTTTCCAATTAAGGGTTTATTTCAGTCTAATTGATGTTTGCATTCATCTTTTTCAACTGGCTCTGTAAACAAACCATATAAATCTTAACTTGAACACATCAGTAGATATCTTTTATAGTCAAGCAACTGGGGCTGAACTTCTAGATTGGACGTTTTTAATAAGCACAGTTTGGTGTAGTTCAGAACCAACAATAAAACAGCATCAAAGAAGCCAGCATCAAAGACGCTAGCTGATATTGAGAGAAATGAATTGCCACACCCAGAAATTTCTAAATCTATAT